CCTATTTTGTCCCCTATATAACCCCACTTCAAGGAGTTTAGACCCTAAACCCTAAACCCTATACAATCCCTATAACCCCTATGATCCCCTTTATCACACCCTGAAGGAGTTTAGAGTCTAAACCCTAAACCCTTGACCCTATATAATCCCTGTATTCATGGAGTTTAGACCATAGCTCATGTAGCTGTTCGACGCCTTTCTCTGAGGACTTCTCAGGGGTCCTTGCGGGGATTCTTGTCCATGAAAACTTGGGCCGGTTCATGCGATTTAAGGTTTAGGGTTTAGGGTTGAAACTTCTGCAGGATTTACCACTATTGCTATGACTAAGCTAAGAGTACTTGGAGGTCTCGCAAAAGAGGGATATGCTTGCGGCCCCTGCCAGTCTTGGATATATCGGGGTAGCATCCCAAAACCCTAAACAGCCCTATTTTAGGGATATGCTGTGGTGATTTGGAGAAACTCCCAATTCTACTCACAGATCCCTACAACTTGGCAGCGCCTCAGTTTCAGGGAGATGTAGATTTGAGTCGTGATGTCCCCTGTACCGGCTGGACCTTTCTAACGGAGCCATTCTAAAAACTGTGGCTCATGATGTTCGTGATGTTTCGCCTTTCTAGGAAACGTTTGACTCAACCATACCCCACTCAAGCACCGCTCTTCTTCGCCAAACTTCTGAGGTCTCTGCCAGTCTCTGCCTCCTGTACAGTAGGCTGAAACGTGTGTCTGTTGCAGGATCATGCACTAGCACACCGACGGCTGTGGTGTTCAACTAGTCAACCTCCTCCATCTTGGAGGCCTCGTCGGCCGCGCCCTCGACTTCCTCAAGTGGGGGCAGGTCATCGTCGTCGCCCAGGCCCTCGTCATCATCGTCGATGCTAAGGCCGAGCTTGATCATGCGATGGATGCGGCCGGCAAACTGCGTGGGCTCATCGAGGTTGAAGCCGGAGGTGAGCAGGGAGGTGTCGAAGAGGAGCCAGATCAGGTCCTTAACTGTCTTGTCGCTCTTGTCAGCGGCCGATGATGATGATGATGATGATGCGGAAGTACCAGGATGCCAAGGTCCTAGGCACTGTGGGTCACTTATCAACTCAGCAAAGCTGGCCCTGGAACCGCAACGCTGCTTCTGCCGAAGCTGTGATAGCAGCGATTTCCCATTGCTTGGCTTGCAACATCTGACGACGGTAGGCGGCACGCGGTGATCCCTGCCAGCGCCTTAGGAGGCAGCCCTTTGCAGCCTCATCAGCCTTGTAGTTCCAGCCTCTTTGGACGTCAGGGTGCACGTCAGGGTGCGGTACCCAATGAAGACGCTGTCGGCCGTGCGCAGGCAGCCATGAGAGCTCAATGATCATGCCATATGAGGTCGCCCTGAGGAAGTACTGGTAGATCCGGTTGGCGAGCAACGGGAGGGACTTGCACCATCCACGCGAAGAGGCTGTTACAGCCGCCTCACAATCGGTCAGAATGACGATCTTGCCCGTGAAGCCGCGCTCTGACAGGTTGCAGAGCGCACTGAGGAGGAAGTCAATCGCTGAGAGCTCCGCCCTGTAGCTGGATTGGTCCTCGCCGTCCAAGCCTAGTGTATGCACGGTGTCGCTGCCCGGGAGGTACAAGGCGAAGGCACCCACGTTGTCCTTGCTGCTGCCATCAGTAGCCACAAAGGTGGTGCTGCGCCAACTCACGGTCCTCTCGAGGTCGTTCAGCAGGTCCAGTAACAAGCCTGGCGCATCAAGTGTAGACGGGCCGGGGGGCTCCTCAGGGAGAAGAACAGCAAAGAGGCGTTCCTCGCAGCGGTGCACTGGTAACTCCAGCCGTGCCCTGAGGTCAGCTGTAAAAGGGCAGCACCAAAGTAGGTGCGGCCTACTGGGCTCAGCCAGACCGCAAAGGCAGTCAGGGATACGCTGAAGGGCACCCCGTCGAAGGCTGAAGTAGTACCAGCAGGTGCCTCCACATGCCAGTGCAGCCAACTGAAAAGGCCTGGCTGCAGCGGCCTTCCACACTGCCTTGTGGCCTGCTGCGACAACTCGTCCACGTCGAGGAGGGGCAGGAAGGTCAAGGCCAACAGCGAGGTGCGGGTCGCTCCTGTGATAGGAGCGGCAAACACGTCCTGTGCGACGCAGGGTCTCTTTTCTGTAGATGTCCTTGAGCCATTCGAGCAAAACACGATGACTCTCGAAGCCCAGACGAAAAACACGAATGGTGCCATGCTCATCGCGGCATTGCAATTGCCCACCGCAAGGAGAACAAGTCCAGCCACAGCGAGAGAGCAAGGCGGAAGCTGTCGGCAGTACTCGAAGCCAAGGCAGAACTGCTTCACCAAGGGGAACATGTTCCATCCAGCCGGGGCGCATGCACTGGAAGCGCTCGATGGCAAGAATCACTGACCAATCCATAGCAAATCTCGGATGTGTCCACCAGTCGAAGACTTCGTGGAAGAGCAGCTTAGGCGTCTCAAAGACGACGTTCCTTCGAAAGACCCCGAAGGTGCGGTCTCGGAGCCGGTTCAACTCCACCTCAGTAGGAGAAGCGAAGCCTGCAGCCCACTGGATCATCGAGAAGACCAGGGACCTCACATGTCGAAGAAGAAAGTGGGGGTTGTAGGTGACTCCAGCGATGTACTTGAAGCGCAGCTCAACCTTCTCCAAGGAGAACTTCCGGAGGCGTCGGGGAAGCAGGGGGTCAAGAGGATGAACCAGGCCAAGTGCTTCAAGTGCATCAGTCCGAGGGTACTCCAAGTTGCGGGCAAGGTCGTCGAAGACAGCTGAACCAACAACCGCGGACTTGGTCTTGTCACTTGCGAGCCCAAAGGCCTTGTCGAATCGCCTCCCGCGAGTCGCTGCAGCAATCATGACTTCTTTACTGCGCCCAGTGTCAGTGGTCAGAGGCCAACAGGTCCTGTCGTCCAAGAAAGCAAGGCACTCGGTATCCTGATTTGCTACCACTGAGGTCCAGACATGCATGACACTTGCAGCAACCAAAGCCGACATCGGGCAACCTTGAAGTAGGCCTCTCCCAATGGGAGTCCAGGAAGAGGCAACAAAGCCTCCAAAGGACAGTATGCGCTCCGATTCTATGTAGAACTCCTGGAACAGCGCAGCCACGGGCTCCGGCATCCTTAAGTGAAGCAGGACCTGAACCGCATGCTCAATCGTGATTGTGTCGAAGAAGGTTGTGAGGTCTTCCTGGAGGAAGCAGTCCACCCCCGATGCAATGGCAGTGAAGAGCCTACCGTGCGCATCAGCCGGGGAGCAACCAGGAAGCCCGCCTAAATCATGTGCACCCATCCATGACTTCGCCCAACCTCGAAGAGATCGACACAAGTGTCGGCTGCCAGCCCTCCAGGCAACTGAGCACAAAGAAATCGGTCTGTAGGAACCGGAAGGCTTCCGCGCTAAAGAGACGCGGCATAGTTTCCAGACTCGAGGCAGTGTCGCATGCTGATAGCAGAAGGCCCATAGCTGGGCAAAGCGCTTCCACCAGGCGTCAGGGAGTAGAAGCAAATCTTCCGGTCGCCAGTCATCAGCTCCGCCTGCTTTGCCTTGCATCGCCCTAGTGGCGCTCTTCAGAGCAGAAACAGTCCAGGTGATAGGGATATCCAACGTCTCAGGTCGGGGAACCTCACGGAGGAGTTGAGACACGTCCTCAACCGACCCTGCAGGAGAAGTAGGGTTCCAAACGCGCGTCCACTTGGCTTGCTGCTCCTCAAGGACATTGGAGGGATGGATGGTCGCATTGAAGACCGCATCAGCAGACAAGGTCGGCTGGGTCATCCTCTCCAAATCGGCAGCGGCACGAGACTTAATCCAAGCAGCCTGGGCAATCGGATCGTCGTGAAGCTTCGCCTTCCAATGAGCAATGGCTTCGAGCTTAACAGTGGCAGCTGTAGAATCCACCAGGTAGTCGATAGTTTCAACATCGTTATTGAGGTTGAGCAGGGTGATGGCATTAAGGTCCGGGAAGTCACTTGATAAGGAGTGAACATCACGCAGAACCTTGGACGCAAGCAAAAGGTCTCCCGGCACATGTAGAAGATGTCGCAGTCGTCTTTGTAGCCGTCGGAGCCGTCGAAGTGGTAGAGGTTCCGAAGCTTTGGCAGCTTTATGCGTGTCCCGAGGTCGGACAGCCGGTTGCCATTGAAGGTGCCTCGGAGTGCCAGTGTTGTCTAGGCAGAGAGCAGCCTCAGCGAAGGTCGAAAGCACTGTCCACATTTCATCGGGACTCTGGGTGTTGAAGGCGTCGATGAACGCCTGTGAAAAGGACTCCTCCTGGAAGCGCTCCGCCATAAGCTCCCCGCTGCAAGCCACCCGACTTCTGGAAGGTCGCTGCAATCCGTGAAGTGTGCTCCAGTCCGTAATCAAGTAGCGAACAGCCAAATGATCACCAACACCTGAAGCGTGCTCAACTTCCTGGGCAAAGATTTGCCTGCTGCAGAGGCCGAAGTCGATGCGGTTGCAACGCCCAGGGCCCGTTTTGGGCAAGGTACGAGTGAAGGAGTCGTCCAAGCAATGGATAGCACCACTGGAAAGGAGGTGGGCCACCGGAGGATCACAAGCTTCGTCCTGCCAGTCACCCAGAAGGATGAAAGGAAAGCCGAAGGAGATTACCTCGTGGAGTAGCTCATCCAAAAGCTGGGCCGTGGCGGATCTGTCGCCATTGAAGCCGTAGACTGAGCACGCAATGATTTTCTGCACACGGTCATCGTGCGCCAGCTCCAAAACAGCCGCAGCCACACGTGAGGGGTTTGAAGTATGCAATTGAAGGGCCTGGACGGGCGTAGTGCACATCAAGGCCGCCTTCGCGGGGATCTCGTCGGTCCCCGCCAAAACTGATGTAAAACCGTGTTCTCGCCAAAAGCGGACAAACGACGCGCGAGAAGCCGGTGGGATGTCCACTTCCTGTACAGCAACAACCTCAGCCGGGAATTCCAGGAGGAAGGTGTGGACCGCATTCGACTTGCAGTAGCCAGCCTTGCCCGTATTCATGGTGATGAAACGCGTCATGGGTCACGGGGTCAAGGCGATTCCTCGGAAAGCTTTGGCTGCATTGGCCCAGATGTTGTCAGCTTCCGCTCTCGAAAAATCAGGATCTTTGTTGAAGAGAGGCCTGAGCTGTTTCAACTTGGCCAACCTTGCAGCACGGAAGGCGGCCTTGCGATGGCAGGGGTCGTCACAGCGGTGATTCCGGAACTCGGACTTGTTCTGGAAAGCTCGAAGGCACACGCAGCACTGCCAGGCTCGTCGGAAAGCAACTCTAGCCTTAGCGGGACTCCACCAGGGCCAGAGAAAGCGAACACAGTCTTTGGAGGTTGGGGCAACAGCCTCACGGGCGATTGCACGATTGAAGCTGATCGCCCTCGCTTTGGAGCGCTGTTGCGCAAGACGCTTTTGGGATTGGCGCAGGCGCCGAACCCAGTTGCGCATGGTGATGTGGGGATGGTGAACAGCTCGGTGAGCAGGTGACACAGTCTGCCGTGCAACCCTGGTTGCCGCTTGCCACTCAGCTTGAGGAACCCCATGATCACAAAAGGGGCACTTCCATCCAAGTGCCACACTGCTGTTGCCGACGGGGCGGATGATTGGGAGGTTGGGCTTGATCCGAATTCCAGCCTGGACCCCAGGGTGGAATTTACGGTTGTGCGCCCATCTGGCCTGGTAAGTCAGCCTCCTAGTCTCCTTGTGGGCGATGAAAGGGCAAAGCGGGCAGTGCCATGGCTCGACCTCAGCGGTGGAGCTGAAGTCGAGCACCACATCAACGTCCTCCTGGTCGTTGTTGCTTTCCTGCAGCGATGGCCTTCGGGATGAATCAGCAGTCACCCTCCTCGAAGAAGCTGACTGGTGCTGCTGGCCGCGTTGCTTCACTCCGGTGGTAGTAGCCGCCAAGGACAGTTCCATTCGTGGGCACGAAGAGGCAGCGGAAGAAAGGTGAATCTTACGCTTGGAGCTGGGGCGGGAGGATTCGCAATCAGACAAGTCCATGAATGCACCACCTCTGCCACCATAGCTAGCCCCGATCTGAGCTCCCTGCCAGAAGTGGACCAGAGAGGCAGGATCACACTTGACCCACTCGTAGTGTTTAGCAGCGAACTTCAAGACGCAGAAGGGGTCGGAGTCCGTTGCGGCCGGGAACTTGTAATGGTTGCCCGTGTCGAAGTCGAGCACCAGGAGGTTCAACGGCAGTCCTTTGGCCAGGCTGTAGAGCTCAAGGTTGCCGCACCAAGCCCCCACGTTTTCCAGCTGATCAAGATAGTCGGAGAAGGTGCCGGAGGCAGGCTGATCATGGATATTTCTCTTGTCCCATTTTCCCTCGAGAGCGGAGGAGGTCTCGCGCATCCACTTCACCATTGCTTTCCTGACCTGCCTGTGCGAGCGGGTTTTCCCGCTCGAGTGTGTCAAACACTGAGCGACCGCTTCAGGGAGACAATTCCCTTTTCCCCCATTCGAGACCACTTCCGCTCCAGCAGGCAGGGGAAAGGTACGGCTTTTGGCAGTGGGACGTGTGTCCTCGCTCGGTTCAGAATCTGGTGCATCTCTTTTGCCAGCAGTGGCCAGAGCAAGGTCACCATCCTGGTCGATGTCCATGATCTCTGCATTGTCCTTGTCCTCGGCTTGGTCAGCCGCCGCCGGTGCCGGGGTCTCAGGCAGTTTGGCGGACTTCTTGAGCTTGGGCCCGGGCTTAACCTTTGCATTTGAGAGCGCATCCTGGAACGTCCAAGCAGTAAAGGAATGCTTGACCCCAGTAGTGATCTTGGAGGTCAAGCGCTGTGGGGCCGGTCTCTTGTAGCGCGTCGCCTCCAGGGTGAAGGCAAAAGAGTCCTCGCTTGCAGCCACCGAAATGGGAATGAAATCACGCATGTCAGTGCGAAGGGCTCGAAAGCCCCAAGTGGAACCCATCTTGCCAGGCAGCTTGGTCTCAAAGGCCACATCGGTGAAGCCGGCATTTTGGAGCAAAACCTCCAGCTCCTCGGTATGCCATTCCCTGGGGACGTTGCGCAGAGTCCAGGAGGTCACTCGAGGCACATTACGAGGGTCAGAGGCCTCGACCCTGATCGCCAAGTCGCGGAAGCCAAGGTGGATGCCGAGGTTCGAGGAAGCCGAAGTCATGCGCTTGAGGTAGTAGATGTCATTCTCACCTTCGTCGGGTTTCTGGTACAAGTTGATTGGCGCCTGCAAGTAAAGCTTAGCCCAATCCAGCGGAGTGAAAAACCAGACCAGTCCTCCAAGGAGTTCTCCACCCCGGGCCAGCAAAGCCCTGGCCACCGATGGCGAAACACGAATCAGTCCTGAGACTTGTGATTCGTCCATAGCCTGCCATCCCCATGTGTCACGGATTGCCAGGAGGAGCTTCGAGTCCGCCCGCGCAATCCACTCCCGGAGTGCGGCGGCAGGGGCTCCGCGCACACGTTTCCAGTGGTCCGGCTCCAAGTAGCGCATCGCCGCAGCGACCCGCAACACGACCGTGTCGGCCGCGTTGTACCTCTGCTGAGGCTTCGGTGCACAAACTGCCTCCGCCTCCGGCGCCATCGTGAGCTCGAAATCGGGATCGCCAGGGTTGAAGCCCACAACCCAGCACCTGCGCAGCCTAGTTTGACCCCTCAGTGTTCCAGGGAGGTACTTCGTCTTGACAGGGTTGCGCAACTGGATCTCCTCCAAAGCAGGGCCGCACGGGCCCGTAAAAACGAGCAGGGAGCGCTTGTCGCAGCCGCCTTTGAGGATGGCGTACAAGTCGGTGAGAGTCTTTTCATCATCTGCTTGTGCCAAAGCCGGGCCTTCCTCGAGATCGAGATGCGTAGACAACTTCTCCTCGTCAAAGAAGACTTTGTCGAAGCAAAGGTCCGTAGGTCGGACTTTCCAGCGAACCATGGTCCATCCAAGATCATCCGATTTGCCTTTCTGGCCCTTGGACTTGCCCTTGCCGCTGCCTTTCGAAGGTGCTGCCGGCGCTGCAACATCAGTAAAGTGCTGGTCCGAGTGGCCCTTGCCATCGGACTTGCCCATCTTGCCCTTGCCCTTGTCGGCATCCTTTTGCCGGTACCATCGCTTGCCCTTGCCCGCCTTAGGTCCATGACCAACATCGGTGGAAGGAGCTTCAGTCAGTCCCTTGCCTTTGCCTTTGCCAGGTAGAGGTTCTTGAGAAAGTGGGCCGATCTCGTCCTTGGAGAGGTTGGGAGTAGTGGCATTCCCGCAGCCGCTACTACCCTGCCCAAAGGCGCTGGGAAGCGAAGAGGTGCCAAACATAGAGGAGATTGCCTCTCGGATGGCCTCCTTGACCATAGTCTGGATCATCGTCATGATCTGCCCTTTGAAGTCGCCGTCGAAGATGGCGGGGAAGGATGGGGACGGAATGTCGGCGTCTGCTCCATCTTCCCGATTCTGCCGGGTCCGGTACGATCCATAAGCACTGGGACCCGGGTTCTTGGCCTCGCCAATTCTGACCCCCACATAAGGGTCAAGATCTTGGTCCGACACAACCACATTGCAACGCAATGCGAAGACGACGGTGAGGAATCTGGTGCCCCCGGGATCGGGGTCCGCCTGCGCCGAGTGTGCGGCCCATCGCACACAGGAGGCATCCTCATGCAGGCTCTTGTCAGCGGCCGCCTTCTTCTTCAGCTCTGCCATGATGGAGTGCTTGGGGTTCACCTCCATCGTCTTCTTGGACACCATGTAGGACGTCATGGAGTTGTCGCGGAGGGCCTGGGCCTTCATGATGCGCTCCATGTTGGCAGACCATCCGTACTCGGAGGTGGTCAACACGCAGGGAGAATCCGCCATCCTGGAAGACACGATCACCTTCTCCACCTTGTCGCCCAAGACCTCCTTCATCCTGGGCCAGCAAGGCCATTTCTACGGAAGTTTGTTGGGGGGCATGCAAAACATATCTGCCATCCTGAGATACATTCAAAAAACTCCTCCACTAAAAGACCATTTCTCAGGATGACCCAGCGTCAACTTGGTCAAAGGCTCAAACTCGGCCTTCATCTCTTCGAGCTTCTTCTTCTCATCCTCGTCCTCGATGTCCAAACCTTCCTTTCAGGGGGCTCAACAAGGTGAAGGATCCCTAGCATATACTCTACTATATTGGGGCTTATTTCCTATACCCCACCCTACACCCTAAACCCGAAACCCCACCTTCCGTTACCCCACCTTTTGAGCCCTCCGAACCTTGGTTGTAGACTTCAACTTTTTCCCGTCGAATTCCTTCAGCTGCTGCACGGAATACTCGTCGATGGGATCGATCATGTACAGCACCTCGATGCCCTTCTTGCGGAGGGTCTCCAGGAAGGGCGAGGAAGACACTGCAGCGATGCTCTCGCCTGTGATGTAGAAGATGTCGTTCTGACCCTCCTTCATGCGGTCGACATACTCCTTCAGGCTGATCTGCTCGTCTCCAGACTTGGAGGTGTGGTAACGCAGCAGCTCGGCCACCTTCGTGCGGTTGGTTGAGTCCTCGTGGACGCCCAGCTTCAAGCACTTTCCGAATTGTTCATAGAACTTCCTGGGCAGAGAGAAACATGCGATGTTGGGAAGCCTACCATATAATCAACAGCTGCACCAGCAACTCAGATGGAGCCCCGCCCTAATGCAAAGCATGCAAGCTAGTCAGGCCGAGTCGCTTGTAGTCGTCCTTCTTCTCCGCAATCTCTGCGAACATCTCGAGGCACTTCTTGACAAGATTCTTCTTGATGACTCGCAGGATCTTGTTCTGCTGCAGGGTCTCGCTTCAGAGGCAAGTCCTCCGAATCCACAACGCCCTTCACGAAGTTCAGCCACTCTGGCATCAGCTCCTCACAGTCGTCCATGATGAAGACACGGCGCACGTAGAGCTTGATGTTGTTGCGCTTCTTCTTGGTCTCGAAGAGGTCGAAGGGCGCCCGGCGCGGGACGAACAACAGAGCGCGGAACTCCAGTTGACCCTCCACGCTGAAGTGCTTCACAGCGAGGTGGTCCTCCCAGTCATTGGACAGGGACTTGTAGAAGGAAGCATACTCTTCGTTGGTCACATCCTCGGACTTGCGCATCCAGAGCGGCTTGTTCTTGTTCAGCTGCTCCCACTCGTGCGAGACCTCCTTCACCTTCTTGGTTTTCTTCTTCTTCTCTTCCTTCTCCTTTTCCTCGTCGACTTCCTCGATCTTGGGCTCATCGCCCTCCTTCTCATCCTTCTTCTCCTCTTCCTCCTCCTCAGAATCCGTGACCTCCTTCTCCTTGGACTTCTCCACGTACAGCTCGATGGGGAAGCCGATGAACTCAGAGTGCTTCTTCACCAGGTCCTTCAGACGTCGCTCCTCCAAGAACTCAGACTGGTCCTCCTTGAGGTAGCAGATGATCTTCGTGCCGCGCTTGATCTCGCCATGCACGAGCTCCGTGTCCTTCTGAACGGTGAAGGAGCCTCCGGCGCCGCTCTCCTTGCCCGTGCTTCGTGCAGAGTTTGAGGTTGTGATTGGGATGATTTTCTAAGGGATAGATAATGAGGAGATAAGAGGATTAAATCGCGGAAACTATATGGAAACAACACCCCATTCCCGACAAAACAACACCAAGTCTCCCAAATGTACTGCTCGTCATCATTGTGCTTGCTGACAACGCGGACCTTGTCGGAGACGAGGTATGCGCTATAGAAGCCGACGCCGAACCTAACCAAAATTTGGAGGCTGTTCTGCACGCAAATTTCAATCAGAACGATTGGGTGTATCCAGACTCAAAAGCTATGTGCAAACAGATCCCAGGAACTGGCCGATCATGGAGATATCACCACCGGCTGCCATGGCCTCCATGAAGGCCTGTTGGCATTATTTGCTTTAGGGTTTAGTGTCTTGCAAACATAATGGCGAAGTTGGTAACAGTAACGAACAGAATGATTAGAACCAAAAAATCCAACAACGCTGACGATACCCCTGAACCGTAAATTGCCGGGGGCCTTGGTGCCAGACTTGGCAATGGTGCCCAAATTATTGATCAACTCGTTCTTTGTCATGCCGATTCCGGAGTCTTCGATGGTCAGCGTAGAGTTGGTCTTGTCTGGAATGATCCTCAGCTGAATTGTGGACCCCTCCAAAAAAAGGTTGAACTTTCAGTTATACACACTAGAAAAGAAAAAAACGGCCTAAGGAGCCAGGCTAAAGCCAAGAGGCTTGATGAAGAAATTTGGCTGCGCCTGGCTGGGTGTCGTTGTCTTTGATTGGAAAGCTTTTTCATCGTTGGCCCTAAAACTCTTCAACCCTAAGCCCTAAACTAAGTGGCCCTGTATGGTCTCCACACACCTCTGTTGAAGCGCGTATATTCCCCCCACCCACACTTCTCCTTAAGTGCCAGTAGGTAAAGCCCGAACCCCAAAAACCCAGAGCTTCACCTCGATCTTGTCTGGATCGGTGATGGACTCATACCGAATCTTGTCCAGAGCATCGGAGGCGTTGGAGATGAGCTCCCGAAGGAAGATCTCCTTGTTCGAGTAGAAGGTGTTGATGATCAAGCCTGGGCCAGGCTAGTGATGCAGGATTACACATGGAAACCCAACCAATTCGACCCAAGAACACAAAAAAAGTCTAGAAAGTTTGTTTGAGGATAATCGGGAAGCTCATCAGCTGCTGGATGTCAGCATTGAATGCGAACGTTTCGGCCATCGTTCCACAAACGTCGCCGGAGCTCTACAAAGAGTTTCGGACTACGCGCTGAGGCAAAATTGTACCGAAGGTGCTGGAGCCAAATATTCAAGCAGAAAGGTTGCGTCATGGGACTTATTGATGTTTATTGGTTTTGGAGCAGCCGAGGTTCAGGATTTACTTGCAGAGTTTGGGATTCAGCGCTTTCAGCCAGCTTACTTCTAAGCATTTGTCAGGAGATAGCTGCAAAATCTCAAGCACGTAATCGCTAAAGCGAAACGTGCTCAGTCTGGCAACTAATTAGGATGTCTGTTATTGTGAGTATAGAAATCGCTCCCAGCGCTTTGACGCATCACAACCATCATCACGACAACAGCATCATCATAATTTACTGTCTTGTTTGCGGCATGAATCCATGAGACTAAAACCCTTCGCTTTACATTCATTATCAGTATAGCGTCGCAGCTGCTACCGTTACTATAGCTACCTGCTCATGTTCTAGCACCAATCCGATTTCTGAGGACAAGATGCAGAAAAACAAGCTGCTGTTGGCGAAGCGCTGCATGAGCATTACTCCTTGGATCCTTGACGGTCTCTTGCATCTTAAGCATCTGTCTGGCTTTCCCCTGTAACGACCACCTACCTGAATGAGCCCACCCACGTGAGATTTAGATTTCCGATGACAAAAGTGAAGGGCACTGATGCTAGTAAGAGGACAAAGGAGGGATACAAGGCAAGGACATCGTGCCAACCACTATGTCGTACTGATTTTGCAAGAGCCGTGATGGATAGAGATGAAACTGTAGTAGCGACGCCACCTGGCGTGAAGCTGCATGTGATGATGATGGTCTGGTCCGCCAACCACGTCTTGTTGTCTGCCAACATCCGGGCATGGAAGGTAACGTCCTCAAGGGATTTGGAGTTGAGCGTTTAGTGCAGATTCTGTGGGTGAAAGAAGATGATGAATGAATCACACAGCGATATTTGGCAAGTGTTGCGGATTTGCAGCAGCCTCATACAGAGATATCTCTCGGTCAGCAGTGGTTTTTGTCTATGATTCCTGGGAGTTGTTGCTGGATGCCTTCACAGAGAACGAACAATCGGAGGCAATCATTGGATTCCTCATTAGCGTCCCTAGTCTCCCAGAAATTCTACCCGGCTATATTGTGATTCTTGTCATAGATCCGCAGAAGTAGGTGGCTTCTTCTCAGGAAGCATGGGAGAGACAGAGTTCGCCGTGACTGTAAATCAGTCATACCTACTCATTCCAAATATTGTCTAAGCATTTCTCAGAACGAGTGGGCCTTCAGGAATTCTGGGATATATGAGCAACATGACGAGGATACAGGGGTCTCTCCCTAAATCTCGAGATTCAGGCTACTTCCAAAACTCCAAACCGAAGCGGCCTGCCTAGCCATGGCTCTCTGCGAAATACTTGAAAAACAAGTTTCTGGTAGCAACGGGCTGCCATTGTCCTATCTCGCTGCATGCTGACAGCCCTATCAATCCTAGAAACCCCCATTTACAACAGCCAGCAAGGATCATTCTGAATGTCTGTCCCCAACCCTAAACCCTAAACCCCTAAACCCCTAAACCCTAAACCCCTAAACCCTAAACCCTAAATCCTACCCTAAACCCTACTCCGCACAGGTCCTGAGGGCTCAGGTGTGGCTGCTCGTTCGGCTGCCTCACTTGTTCTATAGAGATAATGGAAAAGAAAATGGAAGCTACCATAGCATATTGGGGTTATAATGGGATACTGGAAAAGAAAATGGAAGCTACTTGAGGGGTGTTTTTCGTTTTGTGTGCGCGGATTTAGCTTTAGGGTTTAGAATGCAGGGTTGAGGGTTTGTTCTGATTACCCCCCCTACTCCGATCATTACATGTTCACTGTAGAATTGGCGGAATAAATGGAGTATCTAGTATTGAGGTGGGGATGTTGAAAGTGTGGGGAAATCAAGGGGAATACAAACTGATTTACGTTTGGGACCATAGTAATAGTATCCCTATGAAAAGCTGCATACTACACGAAGGTACCCTGGTTCCCTGTCAACAAAAAAAATGCCCCAAACGCTAAAACTTGAAACCCCGAAACCTTAAGCCCGAAATCCCTCAACCCCTAAGACGGGGGCCTAAACAATTGCCAATATCATGTTGAAGTCCATTGGAGGTAGCTTATACTCTGATTATATAGGTAATCTAGGAGCATGAAATTATCATAATTTCAACACAATCTCTCTGATTCTCATCAATCAACCCAGCTTTCATTTCATGCTCCATTTCCGTGTCCATTTGACTTCTTCACCATTGGGATTGTATCCCTAAACAAAAAAACCTTCATCCTTTATGTAGCCCTTTATATCCTTTTACCTTTTCTACACCCCAAACCCCTGAACCCTAAACCCCAAACCCTGATACCTAAACCCTAACCGCAAAGGCTTGCAGCTGAAGCGCGTGTGGATCCAACCCAGGGGCTCCAGGTCTCGCAGGTGATCATGGTCAGGCAGCTGTTGTGGCAGCGTCACGTTGCCTTGCAGGTAACTGTGCAAATAGTAAGAATACTAATCTAATAATGACACAAAGAATATCAAAGGATTAAAAGGTAAAAAGAGCTATGAGACCAATGATAGGGAGAATAGTACGGCAGCAATATCAGTCATACTAAGACGTGGGATTCTCAGAAAGCTGGGCACCCAGGGACCCTACGGAAGACAGTAAGTGCAAAGAGGTGATAAGGGACCGCCTGAAGAATTTTGTAAGGATCATCTTGACGATGCGGGCTCAGGGTTTTGGAGGGTGAGTTTGAAACTTTGTTTTGCAGCTGCCCCTACATGATTCACAGTAGTCAGAACATAACCCAGCACAAGAAGTGCAAACCCCAACGCAAGACCTAGGTTTCTGGACAACTTGTGCCTTCCCCAACGTGAAAGAATTTTCATCAGGCCTAGTGGGCATTCTCATAGCCTTTGCCAACCCTAAACCCTAAACTCTCAAGGCGGATGACTCCCATATATCCTAAAGCAACTCTATATAACCTTATAGATCCTGATGAATTATTACTTGGAGGGTCAGGGGACGTAGTAAGTAGGCTACTATCGGGGATAACTAGGGTTACTGTATGGAATAGAATTAGAAAGTTTGCGAACCCAACTACTAAGTCTCCCCTGACGCTCCAAGTAGTGTCTGGGGCTTGATTGGGCCCTAATGAAAGGGTTTCGGTAAATCCAAGACCTCAAAAGTTAGGGACCCAAAGGATAGTCATAGGGTCCAGTTTTGGGTGGCTTAAAGGTAATCCAAATCCCCCTGGGTTCCCTCAACCATAAACCCTAAACACTTCCTGGAAACTACGGTACAGCCAAGGCGCTGTGTGTGCCGACCTGAGGTACCATGACCATACACCTGCGCAAGAGGAGAGAAATCTCAGGGCACAGAAGGGTGTAGGGCTTAGGGATTAGGGCTTAGGGTTTAGGGCTTAGGGTTAAGGGTTTAGGATGTAGGGTTTAGGGCTTAGGGTTTAAGGCACCGAAGGGAAGTAAAGGGGGCATGGAGGACTCAAACTATAAGTTCTCCTGAACGGCCCCGGGCCTATACCACCCCCATCAGTTCACCCTGAATTGACATTAACTAGCACAATTATGGCATTAACCGACCTTAATTAAGGGGAACCTGGCATGGGGGGTAGTAAGGGGTGGGTGCTGGTAAGGTGATCCATCATCGAAAGTACTGCAAAACGCTCTGCAGTTGTTTTTGAACAAAATCTTTTGACCATTTTCCGGAGGGTTGAACATTCTTCTGCCTCTACAGGCGCCTTGCCTCAGAACCTGACAGTATTGACAGTAATCTTTGGGTAGCTACTGAAAGTGGCCTTTTGTGAAAACGACCCTACGCAACATCACTGTTCCTATGGCATCCTGCATTAAGGTGCCCAATCTCCACATGCTCCCTTTTGATCCCAACAATGTTCATACACAATCCCGACAAACCCATGTGTCCCTTTTTAACTCCTAGATAAGACAGAGTGTTTGATAGTGGTATGCCCACGGCAAAAAAAAAAGCGGCAGTACATCACGATGTGGAGCCCGCCTTTGCATGGGTGGCTTCCCAAGGCTTAATTAAACACAACCCCCCAATTGTTGTCCGGCATCTTTTAGGTGGACCCCCCACCCAGTAATAGTGACTGTAGGGGATAATAGGGATTATATTAGGGTCCTCTTATATTCCTATTATAGCACTATTACAGGGTGGGGGGTCCTCCTAAGGTATCTTGTGTAATGTCAGCTTCTGGACGGAAATCTAGAGCTTTTGAGTTCTCAAGCCGCGCAACTCAATTTTTGGTCTAGAGAAGAACTGGCTAAGGTTCTAGGCCGGAAGAGGTCCTAGTAATTACTAAGACTCCTGAGCTCTATGTCCCAGGCAAAGGATCAGTCACAGTGAGGATCTTTTTCACTGCTGGGGTTATCTGAAACTTTCTCTCAGCTTGAAAACTTTATAGCTTGGATCACTAGATTCAAGACCTCCAAATCGCAGATCTCCAGTAAATATCCAGTACTCGCACTGCCTAGGCCTCAACCGTTTCTATGAGACGCAGTCCTCCGGGAATAGGGACTTGCTTTCGTGGAATTTCTTACCCCATATTGTTTAGGGATACTGTCAAAAGAAGGATTACTCCAAATCGCTTTGGGGGAATACTGAAGCCACCGCAACATTAGACCCCTTTGACCAGCAACATCCGAACTAGAGCCCTAACCCCTAAACCCTAAACCCTAAACTCTAAACCCTGAACTCTAAACCCTAAACCCTGATGTGGACCTGTAGACAATAAGTGGGTTTGGGTTACCCCAACTCCAAGACAAGGACCCTTTTGTAGTCACGTGATAGCTCCAAGGTCTTGATTTTGGGTTGGATCACCAAAACGCTCTTGTTAATAGAATGACTCCTAAACCCCAATTCAAGGAGCAGTAGGCCCATGGAGGGGTGCCTATGTTTTAGTGGCTTCGTAGTACAACGTTATAACCGTAACATGCAACGACCAAAGGGAAACGCGTTGTCGAGTCATCCGTATCAAAAACAAAATAAAAGCCTCATAAAGGTCAAAACCCTTGTTACAAAACTATGAAAACCCATTGAGATTGCGTATTTCCAAGCTGCTTAAAACCTCTATGTCAAAAACCATAATCAACGTCGAAGAAATACTCAATTGCAGCCCGAGGGCCGAATCTCCTTCACCTGTGGGTTGTCTGGTGGCGAAATGCCATAGAGGTAGGCCGCAATCTGCGTACGAAGGTCCTTGAAATGAGAGTGACAACAATACGAAGAGTAAGAACAACAACAGTATTAGGAATAGAAATACCCTTTAATATACTAGTAATACACAACAATAATCACATACCATGATGGCAGAAAGAATAGCACCATGAGCTGGGCTTTAGGGAGGGATGAAGGCTGCAAGCAGAACATGGGGGCTTTCGCCTTCCAGGTTGTGGAGTCACGGTGCAAGCTTCTTTGAAGAAAGACCGGATGAGGTACGATCACGGACTGTTTGCCTAGTCTGTTTACCGTGATCATGCCACCCGGCACGCCCAGTACTTGATGATGAAAGGTTATGCACTCAAACGCCTTCTGCAAAAGCTGACTTCATTGGTTGGTCCTTCCTCACATCCACAAAACCCCGCAAAGTTCCGCTGAAAGAAGCCGAGGGACACTGATGCAAATGAAGGTCTTCAGGATGTTCTTCGGCATAACATACGTGTAGCCGGTCTCCCGGATGTCTTCACTGTTGACATACCTGGGCAGGTGTTTAGAGAATACAGGCCTAAAATCCTGAAATCATTCATAGTTGTTCCCGTCCTGCCCTTCTATCAAGCTTCAATTGTGCTTGCCTCTGTCTTGCTTATCAACAACACAAGCAAACCTGCTGCAAGGAACAACATGCATGTCAATAGCATTACTATGACCATCACAACCCTGAGTATCAGCACAGCTGCCAATATCTTTCACACTCCTGATAGTTTCCCTAAACCGGGGGGGGGGGGCCGCAACATGGAGCCCAAAATACTGTGACCCTTCTCATATGGAGCCTGGAGCCCCGGAGGCCCAAAAAGGTACCCCCAATTTTGGGAAACTCCCTTTTAGACTTTTAGAGATAAGGGGAGTTCCCTGAATAAGGGGTCCCCCATTTGTACCGCCCAATATACTGTACTCCTTATCATGGTGATCTCAGAAAGAACCCATGTTTTTTGGAAAGACCGACATTATGTCTATCTTGTACAACGACGTCAGTGCATCTGGGCTGCAGGTGGTTCGTTCGCAGGTGCAGCGATGATGCGCCTAGAGCAAAGTTCAAGGATCTTTCGAACTTGATCTTCTCGGTGTATAGGCATTCGTTAGGAATTAGGGGCTTAATCTTCCTTAATGCAGAAAGTTGTTAGGGATTAGGGCTCTCAAAAAAAAGAAAATTGAGTAGTGTTTTGTTGGTGGTCGAACCTGGTAAGAAAACATTCCTCATATAAAATACTATACCCCAAAAGGAGGATAGAATCTTACTCTATCTTGGGTACCATAATATCCCCAAATAAAACACTCCTCAGATGAGCCATAGTCTAAACTCCTAGCATCCCCCTTAATAACCCCAATAATTAGTCCCCTACATGGTAGGTCTACTCAGATGAAAACTTGTCCTCAAATTTGTTCCCGGCGCTGATGGCACGGACACGCCACTCAGTGCGCGAGGCAAAGGTCTGCTGCTCGTAGGGTGAGCCTGCTCAAAGAGTTAGGGTGTAGGGTTTAGAGTTAAGGGTTAATGGTTTAGGATTTAGGATTTAGGGTTTATGGTTTAGGGTTTGGGGTTTAGGGTTTAGGGTTTAGGGTTTAGGGTTTGGGGTTTAGGGTTTAGGGCTTGAGCCCAAAGAGCCCAATAGAGCTTAGGACCCCCCACCCTGTAATAGTAACTATAAGGGATAACAGGGATTATGTTAGGGTCCTATTATATCCCTAGTGTACCACTATTACAGGGAGGGGGTCCTCCTAAAGTATATCTTAATTAGGGAATGTAGGACCCTTAATAGCTATGTTCCTCAGTGAAGAGGTATTGAGCCCCCTGAGTGCGCAAGCAGGGCAGTGACAAGAGGAACCAGCACCTGAACATTTCCAAAAAGATCTTTGCGATGCTCTGATATCGCAAAGTAGCCTAAATCCTCTACACACTTTCCAGATTCCCAAACTTCACCAAACTTCAATAAAATCCGCTTTCTGATGAGCTCCTGTGGTCACGATCATCTCCTCGCCATGCACGTTCGTGGTCTTCGAGGTAATGGTTGTGATCTGAGACATCTCCTGACAGCAGACATGTGCTTCTCCGTTGCAAGTGGGCGAAGAAAGCAACAAAACTGAGCAACGCAGTTTGTGATGGCTGGTCCAAAATGAACACTACCCACTGACTGCTCTCCAGTTTGCAGGCCTAGAAAAGCAAATACAAGGGAAATGATTTTCCGTAATCACCATTGAATATGAATAATTTTGGGAACAGGAATGCTGATCAAATACCACGTATCCCTGGCTATCCCTGAACCTAGAATATATAATCCGTACGTGCCGGTACAACCTCTTGAAAGGGACCCCAAGTTTGATCAACTACCATGTCCCAAATAGTGCACAAACCTCTGCTTGCATATAGCTCCTTGCCCTGCTTCTCGAGGTCAGCAATCTGCTGTCCTTGATTAAAGTTTAGGGTATGGGTTTTAGGGATGGGGGGACCCAATAATGGAGAATCAAATGGAAGATTGAAAGGAATCAAGCATATATATATATATGTATATATAAGGCACCTCCAATCTTGAAAAATCCCCAATCTTAAAACTGCTGGGTTTTGTTTGATTGAAAGGGATAGATGAGGTTGCATTGGGATTAAGTTCAGGGTAGAGTGGAGGAGGTTCTCAACAACTAGGCAATGCATGGGTCTCACTTGAAGGCCTGGCTTGAGAAACCTCCAGACATTCATGGTGCTGCAGGCAGGTCAAACCCCAGCAGGCAAAGCACATTAATTTCAGGCAGTCCGCAGCTATCAGACTTGTTCAACGACCCAATACACCAACTGCCATGTTCTTCAGAACTATTACTAAACACATGATGCCATTAGCTTTACAAAAGCCCCGTTGCAATCGTAGCCTTTGTATGCACAGCTCTCAGTGCCACCACGGCACGCTGGATGGATGGAGGCGCGATCTCCATTCCGAGGATGATGTCGCGAATCTCACTCTGGGTGAGCGAAGCCACGTTGACGTTGTTCTTCTTGCCTTGTTAGGGTGTAGGTTTTGACGTTGTTCTTCTTGCCTTGTTGCAGCTGGGCACTTCTCAACATGCGGGATGGTTAATTTCGCTTCAAAATATTTTCGGGCCTCTACTCAAGGAGCATCCCTGCACGCTGCTGCCGCAAAAACTAAAGTTTCCAAAGGACAGCATAAGGATGAGAACAGTAGGAATAAGTCGGCTGTGCTACAGTGCAATTACAGATACTGGCGCATAGCTACTGACAGATGAAGGCTCGTGCGGCTGATGAAAGACATTCTGCATAACCTCAATCGCCCTAAGTCCTGGGGATTACAGGAATTTGTGGAGCGCAGGGTCGTACAAGATATCCTCCATCAACAGTACAGAGGCATCAAACGTGTTTTTCAGAATTCCCCCTAACCCCTAATGCTAGAACCCCCAGCTCTAATTCCTACAAACCTTCTACATCCCTGTATATCCTCATGTCACCCTTTGTAGCCCCTAGATGGTATATCGACTCCAAAAATGCGACAATCTCCTATTACCCCTAATTTTGGAAACCCCCTAGACCCTAATCCTTAAACCCTATATATCCATACATCCCGTGATGGGTAACCCGCCATAAGTTTTAGGAAACCCTATAATCCCTCAACCCTAGTTTTGAGAAACCCCCCCATAGCCCCGCAAAAAGAACCATCAGCTGAGGGGCCGTAGTCTGCCAGGATCAGATCCTTGAGCTGCACCTGAAGGCTTCGAAATCTGAATTGGTTTCTTGCCACTACTTAGGGTTTAGCAGGTCATTCAAAATTTGAGAATCAAAAAAAATCCATTTTGAGATTAAGGAAATTGTGCCAGAAGAATGGTAAGTTTATCTTGTCTTGAGGGTTGAGGGTTTTTTCTAGGTGTTTAAGGTTTCGGGACTATGCAGGGAACATGTAGGGACTAAGTAAAGATATTCTGGGCTTATACAGGAACTTATGAGTTCAGGGCTATGCCTTAAAGGCCCCTAAAACCATTTATGCAACAAAGACGAAAATTTCCTAATGGTCATTTGGGGCCCTTACAGTAAGGAGTCTACTGACTGCAATCTGATTCTCGGGGTGATGCAAGGGGGTTTATATCGGGGCTATACAGGGAGCACGGGATGATATAGGGGTGATATAGGGGTTATATAGGGGCTATATAGGAATTGTACAGGGATTATATAGGGGTTATATAAGGATATATACTGGAAAATTCTGCGAAACACCTGCCTCAACGTGGATCCACTCGTCATCAGTGAGACTCGGCCACACGTGATGCGGCTGCGTGACCTGTTAAAGCGTTTAGGGTTCAGGGTTTAGGGTTTAGGCATACAGGAACCCTACTTACCGAGTACCGCGAGTATCATGTCTCACTGTCTACTGCCCTTAGCCAGTAACAATCTCCAATAGAAAAATAGTGAAGGCAGCACATATGCATATAGCTCATGTTCTGAAGCTGTTATTAGGTGGCACAGTATCGAATCCAAGTTGGGGATCCCAACCTACTTCTTTGAAGCACTTCTGTGAGGGTTTCCCAGAATGAGGGGTACCTCTTTGCCCATAATGAGGATGATTCCAGGATGATAGTATATTGGGGGCTACATTGGGGTACCCCTATCTATGGAATCTACCATCTAAGCCAGGTGGCAGTAGTCTTGTCAGGCTTCAGGATGACCTTTGTGCGATCCGGATTCACGTGCAGCGCACGCAAGATCAGGATCATTCGGCCTCAGGCTCTCCTATTGGGGTCATATTAAGTTATGTTGGGCTATTTAGGAATTACAGAATTATATCAGGATGATATAGGGGTTATATAAGGACTACAAAGGGATTATATACNNGGATTAGACAGGGATTATATAGGAATATATACTGGAAGATTCATTCTCACTCATCCAGCAAGGTGGTGTGGAGTAACTCCTGAGACAAAGAGCATGTAAGATGGTGTGAGATTTCCTCCAGACACACACTGAGACTGTCGAACTGTTGGCTCGAGATCAGATAAGAAGATGCCAAAAGCGAAGCAGGTCTCAGCGTCGCAGAACAGTTTCAATTTGACACAAGTTTGGTGGTAAGAACACCATCAACATGAAACCAGGAGACTGGTCAAGGACTAGTCATCATCCTCCCTATCATCATCATCATCATCACTATCAGACTCATCACCATCGTGATCATTATTGAAGCAATCACAGCTATAGGTATAATGCCTATGCATTCCAGTCGCTGAAGGCAGTGTACGAGGAGATGGACTTCAGCCAGTCATCGTAGAGGTTGAAGAGCACCATCTCAGGCTGGGTCGCCTTCAAGATCAGATCGCCAAACTTCTCGATCTTCATGCAGGCCTGATGGTGATGTCTCTCAATTTTTAGGCTCTTTAGGAGTTCAGGATGTGGGCCTCACGATTTGCGGAGTTCAGGCTGCCGCGATAGAGGTTCTTTCGAACAGTTAGGCGGTAGGCTTTCGCGAACATTACTCACTCAGAAGCCCAGACAAGACCCTCCCAAAAACTTTAACGCCACATCTTTCTATCAGCTCCC